AAAAATATGTGACCAGGACTTTTTTAACTACCTATCATGGAAATTTTCAAAAAAAAAAATCTGATGTGTACACCACGACTTCCTTATACAGAATATTAAATTATACGCATTTTTTTCTTGAATTTCATTTAAATTGATTGGGTGGAATTAAATCTACTTTGTTGACAGCGCATAAACCACAATAGAATAAATGCACTCTTTAAAATTCACTATATTTGTTTACTATAACACTTTGAATGCACAAAATTTATATCATTTGAAGAATTATCGTTGCCACGTGTTCTTTCAAATACTATAATAAAGCTAAAATGATGTATGAAAGAAATTAAGCAAACAAAACAGAAAAGAAACAGTTTTTCACAGACAATTGAGTATTTCTCATTCAATTAATTCAGTTCTCACTTCGCGACAAGGCAAAAATACATAAAAACTCAAAATATCTGCATTAAAAATTACGAAGTAAATCTTAAACACTTATTTCCTCGAAAGGATTAAGCATGATTTAATTCGCAATAATAAATGAAGGCGTTTTTGTGTGTGTGTGTGTTGCGAAGCTCTCTAGATTGGCAACAAATCTACAATTCTGCTGTTTCAAATGTAAACAAATATGTCTGCCATGTTATTTAAAACTTAACCGCACTTAAACAGCTTTTAAATTGTTGATAATTGTACAAATATTGCTTCCAGAATTACGAAAGGCATAAAAACCTTAACCGGAAGATAAAAACTAAATAATTCAATCATTTTTAAAGCAAAAAATATACAATTTACAAACATATAAGAGTAAAGAAACTGAGATCACTGAGCTGCGTAACAGACTGGGTATATATAAAAATATATTTATATACATTTGGTGCGGCCGATTGCAACCAAAATACGAGGTGCACATCTACATGTTATAGCAGTCTTATATACAAAATTTCAACGTTCTGAGGCTACTTGTTTTTGAGTTATGCGAATACGTACGTTCGTACAGACGCCATGAAAAATTCTCTTCAGAATTAATTTTAAAGCAGTTTTATAATTTTTTTGGAGGAAAAGAGTCTTTTATTCTGTGCTTACTTACAGATATCACGCAGAAACATCGTTAAATTGCATTCGATAGTGGTGAAAATGGATATTTTCATTGAAATATGTTGCCTGAAACTTTTCGCTATTACAATACTTCCTTTTTACTTCGTACAAGGAAGTAAAAAAAAAAAAAAAAAAAAAAACCACATTCATTCACAACACTGTTTTTTGTATCTGTAACTAATACTGAACTTCAATAAAATTACCAAATGCATGTGATAACTGTCATTATACTAGTAATTTTGATGTTACATATATGCTTTCAATCAATGAAACCACCCTATAATTGTTAGCAAGATGGCATTAATTGTCTCTTAATTTTTCAAGTTGGTATTAAATCTCCATTAGTCATGACAGACAAATATTTTGCAAAGTTAGCTTCAATAAACTTGAGAGATTTCAAGAGAGAGGCAAAACAGAAATAATTTCCATAAGCTTCTCAAAGTCTGAATAGTATGAATTTGAAAAATCACTGTAGGTATGTATTGGTGTTCCTGAGCTAAAGACATAAAAAGGTAATTCAAATACAAACAGAATTTTAATGATGTTAACATGGAGTTTTCTCCCACTGTTACACACATTTTAATATGTTTATTGTGGTAGCTAAAGTAATTTTCACATTTAGTAATATATAAGGAAATCTTATTGATTATGGAAAACGTCAAAAAAAAAAAAAAAAAAAAAAAAATCCACTATGTACAGAAATATGTAAAATTAATTAATTAATTAGTTTTAAGAACCAAATAAATTATCATTCAATCCTTTTTATCATTATTATTTTCATACAATAAATCAAAATTATTATATTTAAATGTCAGGCATTTACACAAAATTAAAGATACGAGTTCACAGAATAAAAGACTATCGACTACCCAGTATCCAGACTAACTGGATTGGTTTAGTTTATTTAATTATGGCAAAGCACTTAAGGGCTATCTGCCTAAGGGAAGGGGTGCCTTCATGGAGGACTTTCTAAAGAAACTGGCTCGTATACACATTGCACATGGGGTAAACCATGAAAACGCCCATTCATGAGAAATCCAACCTCTGACCAAACTGCCAGTGTTCAGCGACTTTAGTACTCGACTGCAAGTTGGCCCCAAACTAACTGGAACCATAGCCCATTAAGATTTCCCCCCTTCCTGCTTTCCTCCATAAGGGAAAAAAATAGCATCTTACAAAAATAATCAGATACTTGTAATTTCTGAAAATTAATGTTAAAGAATATTATATGCATTAGATTGAAATTATGGAATATGGTTTTCTGTGAAGTATATATATAGAGAGAGTGCTCTTTTTACATTAATTTTTTTCCAAAGTAAAATAGGCTTAACCTTTAGCACACATTCAGTTAGATTTTTTATTATTTTTAACCTAATTTATTTCTATTAATCTTGCATTACTTTAAAGAAGTACTGTGTTTGCAAATTTTATATTTCACTTCTTATGAAATATGTTTGATAGAATTCACATCTGGATATTGAGGAGATATTTTGAGTATTTTAAGAATGTTAAACATCAGCCAGAGTTGAATAGTCAGAGCAGTAAATTTAGAAACATTGTCTTAGTAAAATCTGAAATTATTTTGCAGTGTGCTGATAATTTCAAATTTTATTTTAAAATATCAATATTTATACATTAATACATTATGATTTCAATAAATACAGACTCAGGATTTCAAAGAGTGGTATACTCCACTCTATATCATAACTTCTCCTGTTCCATTTTCTACAGCTGTACTAACTTTCAAAATTTAGCTTTGGTTCTTTTGCATGCTACAATCTGCCAAATTATATTAAATTAGCTTTTTTCATTAATTCTACTTTATTCCAGTATTTGGAATTCTTAATTCTAAAAAATTTTGTGAAAATTGAAGTTTTCTGTTCCTTCACTGAACATAGAATCTTTAATTTGCTACCTAGCAATTATATCTAACACAGAAGATTTATGTTTAATAGTTTTTTAATTAAAGAATACTCTACATCAGTGGTCTTCAAAATTTCTTGACTCATGGAACCCTTAGAACCATAAGGCTTTTTTCACCCAAACTTAGAAAAAATATATCTTATAATAATATTTAAAGTAGATCAATATGTTAGAGGTACTTTATGTAATGACAATTAAAGGAAAGCATTATATTTTTTATTAAAAAATTTTAACAAAAAAATAATGTAATTTACTCATTAATCACCTACCTTCATTATATTTAGCGACAGGCATGCACTTTTTTACACAAATTCTCAAAGTCTAGCTCTATTTAATGTTATCTTCAGTCACATTTCATAGTCTGTATTTCATTTGTTTTTGTTGCCACATACATTGAGGAAATTTTTTCACATAAATACGTTGTTGCGAATGGCATTAAAATGTTTATAGCTGTGTGAGAAATGTCTAGTTCTGCTACAGTATTGGTAATTCTCGAATAGAATTTTTATCCAATTACACTTAGTTTTTTCTCTTGGGAAATATTCTATTATAGTTTTCTTCAATTGAAAAATGTGCTCATTGTAGAATTTTTAACACTATCATCTAAATTCATTTTCCATTAGAAAACTGTTTAGTTTTACAAAGCACTGCTTGCCATTCTCTTTGACATATGACAACAACATGATAAGTTTTAAAATTAATGTATAACTAAGTATACTCTTTATATTTTTTAATTAATAAACAAAATCAACTAGTGTGAATGCTTTGTAATTTTCTTTTCAAACTTTTATTTTGACTTGCGAAACCCTGGTGTTTGATTCACTGAACACATTTTGAAGACAATTACCCTACATATACTGTATTATGCTGTAATATTAGCATAATACTGTGCTGTATTCCATAAAACATCTTGGATGGTTCTTTCTTAAATCTTCTTTCCTTCTGAATTCTATCTTGTTTTGAATAATATTTATTCCTTAACTGATAAATTCTTTAACAAACCACTTCAGGAATTTTCTAATATATTTCATTTTTCAATCATCATTTTCAAATGCCATAATAATAAAACATTGAAATATCATAAATTCTATGAAATATTTATTGAAGAATACAGGATGATGATTTTGCAGATACTGTCTATTGTAATTTCATGTAAATAATGTCACAAATGTACATATTGTATTCAATCCAAATTTCTGAAATATGAATTTTCAATTCTAAATATGTTATTAATATTTGGCTGATTATTTTATTCTTATTAAATGATTCTTATTAAAAATTAAAGATATTAATATTTAGCTGATTATTTTAGTCTTATAAAGAAATTTATTTCAAAGGAAATTACATTTTACATTACATTTACAAAAATTTTAAATGTATTAAATTCTAATCATAAGATTACAGTTTAATAGATTTAAAATTTTTTATTCTAATTCCAGAAATTAAAAATGTTTAATCAGTTTTCTGAGACACTATATTTTATGTAATCCAATGAGAGAAAATTTTTTTCTTATTTCAAAGAAGATTATGCAGTTAAAAGAATAAAATATTTTTACATAAGTTAAAAAAAAAAAAAAAGAAAAAAGAAAAAAGAAAATACATGTAATGTGATGAAATGGAATAATAGTGAAATAACATTTTATTTACCTATGCACACAACCAATTTTATGTAATATAAAACAATAAAATTAATATTTTTGTATGCCAAATTCACAATCTTGTCTTTTTCCTCTAAAAAAAAAGAATTAACACATCACAGAATTGTTTAGTCTGATTAAGTGATGCCTTAAGAAATAAGTAAAACACAAACCTATATACAGCACATAATTGCTTTTCTTTTAATGCTTATAAGTTATACATATATCAAATGACATGTCTTGAGATATTAATAAAATACACAGAACACATCTGTATGATGGGATTATTATTTTTTTATAATAAGCTTATAAAATTTAAGCATACATGTGAATTAATTCAATAGCTTTATAAAACTATATTGTTAAACTTAGCTAATTTGAAAGCTAACTGAAATTTCACAAATTCTTGATTTTTACAATGCCAAAATTACTTAATTTTAAAGCTATCTCTTTTTATTATTATTATTACTCAAATCTAGAGGAGTTTCATACTTCTGGATGCTGTAGAATATATCTTTTCTTAGTGTTCTTATTCCATCTTCGGTCATATTTCATTTAGTCCCTTGTTTTAGTCCACTAATAGCTACACTGCTTCTCATAACATTATCCACCTGAAGGGTATCAAAATCATGTATTTTCCTCTCAATGAGTTTTACATAGTACAACCAATTGATCAAGGCATCATCCAGAATCTAAAGCACTTTTATTATCAAAAAGTAGTTTTAGAAATCTTTTACACTTCGAATATGCAAACAAAAGCAGATCTCCTTGAAGCAGCTTGAATGATAAGGAAAGCCACAAATGATTATGAACTACTACTATAAAATAAGCTTTACATATAAAATCATTCAAGAAAGGGGCTTTTCTAAAATTCAAAGATCATTCCAGAAAAATTTACTAGTACTGCTTTGAAAACACTGGGCTGATGTCAATCAGTATGTTATTTAAATGTTGATACTGTAACATAGAGAGTGTCAAATAATGTCAAAAGATCACATTTTCATTTTGTAAGTGAAGTCTGTTATTTAAAGACAATCAAAAAGAAGTTATTGAAAATTGAAACATTTTTCTAAGATGAGATAACTGGCTTTCTTTTCATCGTTTTTTCATCATACATGCTGAGGAAGATTACAAATATCTACAAGAATGGCATAAATGTGTTAACCAAGGTAAGTAAGTGTTAATGAAATTATTATGGTTTCATGGAATTTGATAGTTTGAATATTTTTGCATCCTCTTAAAAATTTGACTGTGTTTGTTATACTGCTTTATCTTTCTAATTACTTAAATCAAAGAAAAAATCTGATCTGGACACCACATGACATTATACACATTTTTTTTTGCTGCATTTCATTTAAACTTATTTCCTCGAATTTCATTAGAAATAGATTTCTCGTTCAATTAGTTCACTTCTCACCAAGGCAAAAATACATAAATCCTCAAAATATATTCATTAAAAATTGAAAAACATACACCAAATACAGTTAAAACAATTAAAATTAGAGTTTCTACACAAAAGCAATTTGGCCAGCAGGCAAAATGGCAGATTTTTCGATGCAAAAAACTGAAATTTTACTTTTAGTCCTACCTGGCAAAAAGACACTGAAGATGTAGAAACTGACTTAATTCACTATCCTGCCAAGTTTCAAATGTACACAAATGTGGCTGCTATGTCCCCCCAAAAAATTATGCTTAGCCACACTTAAACAAATTTTAAATTGTTAATAATTCTACAACTATTGCATGCAGATTAACTAAAGGCATAAAAACCTTAACAGGAAAATAATAACAAAATTCAATCATTCTTAAAGCAAAAAATGCATGATTTACCAACATATAAGAGTAAAAAACTAAGCATACTGAGCCGAGTAACAGAGTGCATGTGTGTATATATACGTGTATATATTTGGAGCAGTCAATTGCAACTAAAAATGGAGGTGCACAACTACATGTTATAGCAGTCTTATATACAAAATTTTAACATTTTGACGCTGATCTCAAAAGAAAAACAAATGATCTGGATAATGGAACTTTTAACTATATTGCCAAACATAAATGATTAACTTACCACATTCTATATCCAAATTAGGAATTAAAACTCAAAATAATCAATAAACACTTAAATCTTTCTTTTTTTGTAACCCATATGGTCCAAAAATATCATTTTTTATTATAAACTTTCACTTAAAATTTCGATTCAACACAGGTTAATTTCAGTTCAAATGCTCTCAACTATTAAATTTAAGCATTTAGTGTAACTTTTATGAGGAAATTTCAAAAAATGTATTGCTTAAATTAACATGTTATTCATAACCATATGGCTACATAAATAATAATTTAATACATATACAGTCAAAAGTCGTTAATCCGGACTCGTCGGGACTTCCGAATTATAGATCATCAGTTTAAATCTCGTAAGATGGCATGCAGAAATTCTAAAATTAAAAATATGAAACCATAATTTATGAAATAAAGAACAATTATGATCTAAAGGGTATCAAAATTTACAAAAAAAAAAAAAAAAAAAAAAAAAAAAAGCTTAATATTTATTTGTTTACTTTATTAAACATTTCTTTCAATGTAAGTTGTTTCGTTTTATGTGATAATACTTTCTCTTTAATTCTATAAACAGGCATAATTTCTTGTTCAGTTACAAAGTTCCGTTGTTCAAGTCCCGTAATTGCTGTGCCAAGAATATTGACTAACTTGTCAATTGAAATTTTTTCGTTTTCACTAACCTCTCTGTCACCTTCTTCATGTCTTTATCCATTTTTTGCAGAAATTCCACTTTTTGTTTGATGGACATCGAAACATACTTTCATTTTGTAGATCCTTTAGGTGCTCCAGCATCGGAAATTCTATTTGACATAATCGAAAGTTCAAGTTTACTTTTACAAAATTGCTCATACAGTCTACAAAAAATAATAAGCCAGATCCAATTCGAAGATTAAGGAACAACGCAATCATCAACATTAACTGAAATAGATAATTAGATAATTTTAGCTTATACCGTCCGTTATACATTAAACGCGCACGGGAAAACGTATTAAGTGCTTGCGCACACGCATATGCGCAGTCGTAAAGGTCTTACGCGCACGCGTAAACGCCTATGCGCATGTGTCAATGCGGAGCATGTACAGAAAGTTTTTAACTTTGAGGTCCGGATTATAGATCATTTCGGATTATGGGTGTCCGAATTAACGACTTTTGACTGCATATTAAATACAGCGTAAAATTACATACCCAAACCTTTCCTCATGCTTTATGTTTCAAAAAAAGCTTTCCTTATAAAATTAATATAATAATTATTATTATATTAAATATTAATATAAATTAAATGCAAATATATATTTTCTTGCTAGATTGGGAGAGACAAAATACTAGTGATTATCTTTCAATGGACTGCTTTTGCCATCTCTTCATTAAAATGGGAACTAATTAGAAACAAAAATACAGGCATGCAGAGCACATAAACTCTTCTAGCCCATACAATATGTGGGTAAATAAGCAAGTCTCAGAAGTGATTCACGTACAGCACATGAGAAATTCAGTTAAGTGATTAAAAATACTGGTAGAGAAAACTTTCTGATTATGTGCACTCTCACTGAAAAGCCATAAAAAAGTATCAATGCAGCAACATACTGTGTCACCAAAAAGTATTTATGTGGCATGTTGCCAAAACGTAATTATGGGCTAAACCAAGATGTCAGCAAAAAGTGTTTATGTGACAACTACTCAAGTATGCACATACAAACCCTCAAATGGCTTTTGACTTCTCTGAACATTTTCATGAGCGTGACTGTAGATCATAATCCCTCCCACATGAATTTCAGTGCAGTAGTGGACTGCTTAGTGAATTTTTAGTCATCTTTGGAAAATCTTGGACTTAAAGTTTCTGTATGCATGGAGCACTTAATTCTTTGAAGGGCACCGGTATATAATATATACCATCAATTTTTAGTCAGTGTTAGTCTATTTTTTAAACTACTAAAAAAATGCTAATTTTTCTACATCAAAAGCTGTAATCATAAGTTTCTACTGTCTCCTTTTGATTCTAAATGGCAGCACTACCCTATGAATGCTCAATATTTTGCGTTATGAAATTGGGTCCTCTTTCAAGGTATTGATGGCAGCACTAACCCGGTAGTGAATTTTAGTGGGGGTGGGGGGTGAATGCACAAAAACCCAACCACAAGAAAGACCCCCACAAAACCCCAAAACACCAATAAAAAAAAAAAAACAACAAAAAAAAAAACAAAACCAAACAAAACAAACAAAACTCACAAAAAAACACAAAAAACAACAAAAAACCTCCCAAAACATGAAACCAAAAAAAACAAAAAAACTCAACAAAAAAATAAAGTATGAAATTGAAAACATATATGAAAAAAAAAAAAAAAAAAAAAAAAAAAAAACAAAAAAAAAAAAAAAAAAAAAAAAAAAAAAAAAAAAAAAAAAAAAAAAAAAAAAAAAAAAAAAAAAAAAAACAAAAAAAAAAAAAAAAAAAAAAAAAAAAATTTTTTAATTTAAAAGGTATCATGTTTGAACATTCATAAATTCCATTGAAGGATAGGAAAAAATTCACAATCTTCAAATATATGATGCACATGTTCTGAACCTTTTATATTTACTGCATTTTAATCAAAACTGATAATTAAAAGATTATGTATACATTTTTAAATACTGGTATATAATATATACCGGCACCTCTACTGAGGGTACCTCGTCAACAGATGGCAGCACCAGGCTTCTCCCTCTGTACTCTGTGAGATGACAGAATTTCTTTACATTATAATAGGTTATGATGTAATAATTTATTTATGATTAATTTACAAGTTGTTCAGGATTCAGTATTATGTTAATGGGGGTATGTGAAGTTTAGTGACACTGACCTGGGACTGAATATAAGTATATTAGTTACTTTTTAATCTTTGTTTACATTACTCAAGTTTCTTTTTCTTTCTTTCTTTTCTTTTCTTTTTCTTTTTTTTAGAAAGACTTGTCTGGCATCAAAAAACGGTCCGCAACCACATAGGGTTTAAATGTGGCATTGTTAGCCCCCAAACACACCCGTTGTTTTGTGTTTTCCAAAATCCTACAATGCAGCAAAAATGAAAAGAGGTGATGGACAACTAATTTGTCACATAGGGCTCATGCCATCTTCACAAAGGAACTATGATAACATCACACAAAGAAAACTCTAAAAGTACGGAAAATTAAAATGCACTTTAGATCCATTTCTTAGTGCAATGGAAAAAACTGCTGATTTGAAAACATGCTTTTATTCTTTAGGTCTTTGTTAATTTCAGATGAGAGACTAAGGAATACAAGAAAAATTTTTCCCTGGGTTAGGATACAAGTACGTGGTTTAGTCTTCACAGCTGGTGAAAGGAGGGAAATATTTCTAAGGCCAACAAGTTTAGTTGCAAAACATTTATCTTTGAAAGGAAAAAAAAAAAGGGGGCAAATATTTGAGTTTTTAAAGTTTTGATAGAAATAAGAGCTTTGTATCAAATAATAAAATCGTTTAACAGCTTTTTTGTTGAACAAAATGATATATTACAACCTATATTTACAAAAAATTAAAAAGGGCCCCTTACCGGGCCTGATAATCGAAAGCTTGTGTGTGGGGGGGGGGCAATTCTTGTTATCATAGCATGAAGCATACTCTTTTTATATATTATCTAAAACAATCAATAACTTCAAAAATGCAATATAATTTTTCAGCTGAGTCATAGTGTTTCATTTTCATTTTTTTTTTAATTTTTTGCTTGAGTAACATTATACTAGCTCAACTGCAACACAATACGGTTTCTGCATGCATATTTGCTAAAATTTTTCATAAAATGCTACTATTGAATTTAAATCACTTTTAAAATCTTTTTACCCATATTTTACATAAGTATATTCAGCTGAGTGGCATCATCAAAGTGCCAAAAACATAAAATTTATTTTCTAATTTTAAATTTCTAGTAAAATTTAAAAATTTTTTGCCTTCAGACTTACATAAATGTACTCAAGCACCCATCTCTATAGATGCACATCAAAAGTTTGCAAAAATAGATGAAAGAAAACAAAAATTAACAATTGGCAGTTACCTGGGATAAAAATGTTGTAGAAGGGCGCCAGTATAAAATATATATTGGCCCTCAAAATTCAGGATTTCACTCTAGATTTTTTTTAAGTCTCTATTTTGTGTTCTAAGGGTCTATAAGTTACAATTCATTCAAAATTTTACCACAATTTAAATGATTTTATATACTGCCCAGGTTAAAAGCATCATGTGTCTTTTATCTTATGTCTTTAATTTATCATCCTATGTCTTTAATTTATAATTAACGTCAAGTTTATGCAGTTCTCTGGTTTTTTTTTATAGCAAAAACTGCATATACGTGAATGGTACAAAATACAGTGTGCACGTCTTGTATGGAGAAAGAGAAATGTAAACAAATACGTGGGATTGAATGCATTGTTTAAATAAAGTTACCCACACAAATTTTTCTCTCTAATGTTGCTAACAAGTTCACAAATGCTGTCCAAAGCTGGCAATGATTTTGTGACTTTTTGGTGGGGGTGTGGTTAATTAGAAAGTACAAGAAACTTTTCCTGCACGATTACACTGCATATATAACAAAATTGTACTTACATAAAAATATAAAGTGCACGAATTAGAATTGCCAGGTATGCCAGGTTTTATATTCCAAATTGTTTCTAAATGGTTAAATAATCTTCCATCAGTACAACAGGCCTAAAATATAAAAAAATTAATAAATTTAACATATGTTTTATCACGCACTCAAAAATGTGAAAAATGAAAAAATATTTCTTAACCTTCACTAAATGTGGCTTTGCTAGTGTTACAGATGAAGTATAACGCTCAACAAGAGGTGGAAAACCAATCTCTAGATCTGCTTTAAGATGACCTGGTCTTCGTTTAGTTACAACAGAACTGTTGCACCATGGTAAAAAATCTTTATAATATTCAACACCAGCAACTACATCATAGAGTTGTTCCATAGAATAACTGCATATGAGTAACACAAATAAGTTTTATTATGGCATATGATAACTTTTCATGTAACAAAATATATGGGAAATGAACTCTTACAATATATGACTTAAATTATGAGATTTAAAAGATTAACAAGCTATTAGACACATAACAAAGATTGTTTCTAGCATGAATTATTGTGTATCAAAATAACTTTTTTAATATGAAGACAACCAATAATGATAATTAAAGCTCCTGGATTACAGTAGATTGAAGGGTGCCCCTTGTAATATCGCGAAGTTTTTGTTTCAATTATGGTAACCTAAGTAGTTGAATGTTAAGGAAACCCTATTATGATGTAATCGATAGTGTGTTGCTGTAAATTTTGAATGATGGGTAAAGATTTGTAAGGGCTTGTGGTGTGTGTTGATTAGGAAGTGCATTGCTTGTTTTGTGGTTTAGATGGTAGAATGGCTGAATGTTGTAAGATTAATTTGAATTTCTGTATGATTTGGAAAAAAGGGGGGAAATGCATTAAATGACTGGTGTATAGTTGAACGTCGGAGGATATCAACCTTACAGAGGATATTTTTAACTTTTATTTTAGTGAATTTATGCAGCACGCTAATATACGGATTCTAGTTCAGATAATTTTAGGAAGTTTTTGGATGCTGTTAAGGAATTTTGTGTGCCACAGTTTGAAGGACTACGAAATTTTTAAAAAAGGTAAGTGGATATTTGCTTTGTGTGGTGCTTAGCTGCATAAAATGAATTTCCTTTTTTATGTTATTTTATTGTTTGATTTAAATGTAATTTATTGAGATTATGTATTTTTTGTTTGGCTTTACTGTAGAATTGGGTGCTCCTTTCACATTTTAAGTGAAATAGATCGATGTGTACATGGACAAAGTCAAGAGAGTGCACAATTCCAAATTTGTGCAATTCTCTGATTTTTTTTTTTTAAGTGAAAATAGGTTGATGTGTACATGGGAGTCACGGGAGTGTGCAATGCCAAGTTTGTGCAATTCTGATTTTTTTTTAAGGTTAAAGAGGTCAATGTGTAGGTCGATACACAAAGCCAAAATAACAAGTCAAAGAACTGCACAAACTCGGTATCCATGGTACTGTCAATTTTTGTCAAGGGGCACCCGTAAATATATTTTTACCAAGCTACTGTTTTAAATACTCAGTTTCACTAATTAAATCCTGCAAGAAATTAATAGTTACTATATAAAATAAGATTTTAAATAAATAACCCATGAGGCTTTTTTTTTTTCTTTTAATCCATCAGCTAAAATTTTATTTAGCCTAAGGGTATATTATTCATAATAATAAGAAATATTATCACTATTAAATTAAATGCAAATTGATAAAGGATATAAAAAATGCCTTAAGAATTTTGAAAAATATTCCTTGTAACATCTTAATTTAAAAAAAAAAAAAAATCCCTCCCTGCACAAATTCAGCATTATATATATATATATATATATCATCACTACACAGCTACACACTATATAGTCACTAATTGTTGCTATATAAAATAAGATTTTAAATAAATAACCCATGAGGCTTTTTTTTTTTTTTTTTCTTTTAATCCATCAGCTAAAATTTTATTTAGCCTAAGGGTATATTATTCATAATAATAAGAAATATTATCACAATTAAATTAAATGCAATTTGATAAAGGATATAAAAAATGCCTTAAGAATTTTGAAAAATATTCCTTGTAACATCTTAATTTAAAAAAAAAAAAATCCCTCCCTGCACAAATTCAGCATTTTATATATATATATATATATCATCACTACACAGCTGTTCACATGGGAATATAAAGAGACTACCACATTTGCCATGCCATTAAAAGAAAAGTAATCAAGATAAATTTGTTTTAAAATCATATTTTTCTTGTATTTAGCAGAAATAATTATTCTGCAGACAAAAAAAATTTTTAAGATTTTTTTTTATTATTCACACAGTTTTCTGAACTTTATTTTTTTTAATTTATATTTTTATTTGAGATACAGGTAGTGATTTATAAGGAAATAATTCTGAAATTGTACACTGAAGTAGCAGTTCACTACAATGCAATTAAAGCTCATCTATTATTCATTAATAAAATCTTTTAAATTCAAATAACTTTCTAAACTGAAGAATTACCACATAATCATTACAATTAATATTTAGTAAATACTTATCAACACTTTTTAAAAGTAGAAAAAACTTTTGTTAGTAATATATGCTAGGTGACTTTCTTTAAATTATACATTAACCACCTCCTGAGTGGCATGGCCTTTATCTGATCATGAGATTTTTTTTTGTCGCTAGGTATATATTCATATACAATGTAAAATATTTTATTTTCTTATGATAATTCTTACTTCATTTAATAATATCATTTTAATGAATGGAAATTTATGAATACAAAGACTTAAAAAGTAATTATACAAATTTAGCTAATAAATGCTGTTTAAATATAGGTCTTCATGAGCAAATCCAAAAAGCTGTACCACTCAGAGGGTTAACTACATCATTCAGCATACCCAAGAATTTTTTTTTCTGAATATTCTTTCCTCTTACTCCCAAGAGGATTAGGTAGAGTGAATAACTTTCTGTTTTCAAAGACATTATCAACTGCAACTAAATATGATTTCTTGAGAACTAGTGTTGACTGAGGACAGAATTTTCCACTGAAGAATCTTCGAAAACTGCCAAGATAAAAATACTCATTATCAATAATTCTATACAGTAAACAATCAACTGAAAATAATATTAAAGTAATCACAAAATGTCTAATTTGAAAATTTGATGAAAATACATAATTTGCATACTATTCATTTATTTTACATATAGTGAAAAATATAGTAAAAAAAAATCATTCGTTAACCCGTTCAAGACCAGCGTAGCATATACGCGATGCAGCGGTTCCACTCCTATCAGACCAGCGTCCCGCGTACACAATGCAACGATTCTGCTCCTATGAGCCCAGCGTCCCATATATGAGACATTCAAATGGAACGATTTATTTGAATTTTTAAAAGCCAGTAAATGGAGCTAAATGGTAATTGTTTTCACATAGGTTGATTCATACCGCATTTGACCTTCATCTACTGGCATTAGTTTCTATTTTGTGCTTCTGGATTTGATAGATTTAAGGAAATAAACAAACTGGGATCACAGCTCTTTATAAGTGCACCTGCGACTTAAAGAGGCACAGGTGTTTTTGTTTATTTCGTTAGGATTTTCTTTTCTTTTTTCCCCTATTTATTTTGAAACTTAAGCTTTCTTGGTTAATTAAAAAGTAACATTACAACATTATTAGAGAAGGGAAAAGACTATCAGCTTTTTCTGAGCAAGACGCGTAATGCGTCTAGCTCACATTTCTCAGTAAAGAGCCAGCGTTTTTGTTTTTCTTACTCGATTTAATACGTCATTATATATGACACAGACATTATATTTTGGTATATAATGGACAGTCAAAAGTCTTTAATCCGGATTCGTCAGGACTTTGGCGATTCCGTATTATCGATTTTTCCGAATTATAGATCATTAGTTTAAATCTGGTAAGATAGCATGCAGAAATTATAAAATTAAAAATATGAAACCATAATTTATCAAATAAAGAGCAATTATGATCTAAAGGGTATCAAATTTACAAAAAAGAAAGCTTAATATTTATTTTTTTACTTTATTAAACATTTCTTTCAACGCGCGCATGCGTAAAGCATACATTACGCATAGTTGAAATTAGAAAATTGCAACCAGAAAACTATTTGATTTGTATTTGTGATATTTATAATGACGAGGAATTTGATTTAAATCATATCAAAGACGGATTACATCGAGATGAAATACTACATTTAGTAAAGAATTATAAGCGCTGAATAAAATAAAAACATCTGCCCTGAAGACAAGGATAGTGCTGACAGATCAACTTCGAGTTCATTGCGTGCCGCAATGTTCCCCCCCCCCCATCGAAACATGCTTTCCCTTTGTATATCCTTCGGCAGCTCCAGCATCGGAAATTCTATTTGACATAATCGAAAGTTCAAGCTTACATTTATAAAATTGCTCTAACAGTCTGCAAAAAATAATAGGCCAGATCCAATTCGAAGATTAAGGAACATTGCAATCTGCAGCATTAACTGAAATAGATAATTAGATAATTTTAGCTTAGCTTATACCGCCCGTTATACATTAAACATGCATGCGTAAACGTATAATGCGCATGCATACATGCATTCATAAAGGTATTACGCGCATGCGTGAATGCATAATGCATTGAAGCATGCACAGAAAGTTTGTAGCTTTGAGGTCCGGATTAACGACTTTTGACTGTATTTACTTTACATGTAATGTATAGATTGACGTGATCAGTAATGGATATCATGCCAGTGGGGGTTTTTCCTTGATCACTTTCTGGTCGTTGTGGATGCTGTTTTCAATTTAGAAAAACAGAAGTTTTCTAATATAAACCTGACGTCACATAGAGTTTGAGGATGCATATTTTTGAGCGTCTTTTAAAGAAGTTTTGGGACATGTGTTGGGGTTATATATTCAGTTTCATTTCATTAGCCATGGCTAAGAGACCTTACTTAAAAATTTGTCCAAAATCACCGGACACTCCGCCTTTCCGTATAACTGGGAGACAGTTTCTGAAAATTTACGTTGATGGAAAATGTAACAAAAGTAGGAGAAGATGTGTTGTGTGCACTAAAACCACGGAAAAGCAAAAGCAAACAACGGATTTTGAGTACGAAATATGCAATGCAGAACTATGTCGATCCTTGTTTTGAATTATTTCGCACAGCAGAATTTTTAAATTGGAATTTAATTACCTATAGGTAATTCTTGTTTAGTATTTTTTTTAATTTCTTATTTGTAATTTTTTTTATGTTTATAGTACTTATTTCTGTGTGTATAGTAATGATTTTAATATTTTGCCTGTTTAATTTATTTCTATTAATGTGATATTCTTTACATTAATACACATTAAAAACAAGTACATTAATTACGCAACTTCAAAATTTGAAGTCATAATATCAAAATGCTGATTTTATACTTTTTTTTTTTTTTTTTTTTGTAAAATTAGGCTTAACTACTGAAAATGCGTGGGCCGGTGGTGACAATCCATTTCAGTGGGTCCGGTCCCATGACTGCGCTTCGTTCTCCCGATGCTGGTCCTTAAGGGGTTAAGTAAGTACTTGTTAAAATACATGTGTATATAACGTAATCCTGTGAGAGTGTACAAGCATATTAAATGTGATAAATAAATATAATAGCTTCAAAATAGGGGGGATGGAGAAAGAAGCATACTATAATTCATATAATTTTTCATTAGAAGTGTCTAAATGCCTTTCCACATGCCTTCATCGTGTAATTGGAAGCATACTTTGGTGCACATTTGAGAGGTAGAGGGTTTGAGTCTGGGTGAGGGCACTGCTCATTTTTCACATCTCCTGCTTCAAAAAACCTAATGACTTTAATGTGATGTCCTAACCAAAACAATGGTGAACGATAACTCGCCACCACCAGGATTAGGCAATTGAATCTCTTCATCCCTAGTAACCATTTAAAAGGAGTATGTAAAGTATTTTATCCTTCCTTTCTGCATGCCTTCGTCATGTAATTGGAAGCATACTCAGTGTGTATTTGAGAGGTTCAGGGTTCAAGCCCCGGGGAGGGCATTTTTCATGTCTCCAGAATCAAAAAACTCTAATGATTCTACACCCTCTTCCAAATTCTTGATGCTTTTCTCTGCCTATATTATCTGAAACATAATAATAAAAATAAAACTTATCATTTTCAAAGCATATTTTTAAATGCAACAAAAGTGGCACCTTTACACATATTAGTTTGTTTTCTTAATTCCTAATATACTTTCAAACTCTTGAGAAATTCCTTGACAAAATTTTAAAGCTTATTTCTTCACAGTGAATTTATAAGTGCACACAGGTGCAAATAGAAAGTAACACAGGATTTTTTTTAAATCTAGAACTTTAAATATATGACATTTTAGAAATGACGACTGAAGATCAGTTAATCTGTTTCATAATTATATATATATATATACATGCAGGGGGCCCACCAGCAGCCAAGCAGTAAAGTCGCTGAACACTGGTAATTCTGTCCGAGGTTCAAATCTTGGTGAACGGGCTGGTTGCATACATGTTTTCATGGTTTTACCCATGTGTAACATGTACACGAGTCAGTTTAGCTTAGAAAGTCCTCCACAAAAAGCATTCCTACTTTTAGGCAGATCGCCCTCGAATGCTTTGCATAAACAAATAATAATAATAATAAAATATACATGCAGGATTCCTACTTAAGTTCTGATACAATTTTTAAACTTCCAATAAAAATGTTGACTTGCAGAAGTACATTCTTCTAATAGGAAAACCATTGTGCATCATCAGTTCAAAAAACTGCAATGGAATGTAAAAAGTTTCAATGATTTTTCTAATATATGTTCTCTGTTTATTATGAGAAGCCATATGATTTACTTACAACATATGCCCAACAATAAAAAATAAGCTATACATAAAGGGAAAAGTCTTGCTGTAAGTTGCTATTTTTCAATCTTCCAGGAACTCCTTAAATTTGTCAATTACCTTTGGACTTACTATGTATACCTGTTTATAGAACTGTTAAATTAAGAAGTACAAACAACATTACTTTATTACTTCTTGAAAGTTTCTCTGAAATAAACATTCAGTTCTACTGGTATTATGCTATGCTGTTGATAATATAATACTATATATAAGCAAAACTATTAGTAAAGTGATAAACACTAATTTTATAATGAAAGAATTTTCCTTTGTAATACTTTTATTATCATGATTTATTTCATGAAAGCTATTCTTAAAGCACATTTTGCTGAGACTTCTCAGGCACTCTAAAGTTCTCTGAAGTTTGGGCTACAAATTATTAACTTTTTTCTAGTATGCTGAAACATAGCTATATGCAAACATTTGCCTAGAATGTGAGAAAATAATAACTTAAGATATAACACCTTTTAAAATTAAGTTGTATAACATATCAATATATTCATAAACATTGAAATTATTATGTAGAGATGCTCAGATGAACTTTGAGACATGAACTAGCTCTTATGCGGCCTCCTCTTTACTTGTTGAGCCTTCTGACGGCAAGTCAAATGTTGGCTCACCCTCACCACATTCCAGCCTATGCAACAATCTGATTCTAACTTCATCCACACATGCATCAAGCATGATAATCCTAGTTATGTACTGTATATTAAAGTAATTTTTATTTATTTATAATGTACTGTATTTACAATTTTAAATTTATTGTTCATTTGATGGTATTTATGGTTTTTATCTCACGGACATCATTATGAGATATGCACAGATAATTTAGTTACATATTACGAACAAATTCATGGTATAAATGGTTATTTAAAAGGTAATTCATTTGTAAGATGGGGATTTGTATTCATTAACCGTCATGTTATAGCTATTTATTTTCCTAGTCAAAGACTTCCCCCCTTTTCCAATTAAAGAACCATAATTCGTCCATTAATATCACATGATCTCTCATTTCCCTCACACAAAATAATGCGTAATCGGAACTGAGTACTGCTCACATTATTACCAAAGTCTCAGGTAGTAACTTTTATCGCCTCCAAAATGTCGCCAAACTACCAGTTACCATATTCTAAAGATCAGCCGACTTCCCTTAAAACTACTAAAATACTTTCATTTTTATATGTAATCTCTTTCTGGCAACAAAATATAAACTGCAGAATAGAACTATTTTGTGACCTATCTTTGACCTTGTATCAGGAAAATGATTGACGTTTATTATTTACAAAATAAATAAATAAATAAATAAATAAATAAATAATATTATGAAAAAGTGTAATGAAAAGGCAAAATTAGGATGTATTAATGTGGAAAGTTGTGAAATAAAAATGTTATTAAAAATATAATTATTCAAAGGGCTTTTGATCAACAATGTACTTCTATTAATATGATAAAATGTTATAATAAAACTAACGAATTAAATTGCATAAGATTATTCTTTATTAAAATATCTTTAATGAGGTGAATGATTCAGCTAGTTTTATGATTACAAACATGAAAAAAGTACAGAAGAGTTCATTTCTTAAAAACCCCACGAAATTATTTGCTCTCACATTTGACGGTTTGACAGTGAATTCTAATTATTATACAGATAATATGAAAATTAATTTACCATTCATGTCACATTACTGCACATATATTTGAAAAAACACTCAGTAATATGTGTCAAAACTCAAAGATAATCATTCTTAAAATACAATTTATAAAAATATGTAAAAGGCAAAATTTTCGTAAAAGCCAAAAATCTCCACCTACTTCCTTACCATTTTTGTGAAAAACATTTATTAGATGAATTAAAGTAAGGGGAAAATAATAATCTTTCTATAGAAATATAACTAAATCTACGAGCCATAACACTTTTTAGACATTTTGTTTACGTTTCTTGCAGAAAGTGCAAGTTGTAGTACTTTTTATCACAGCTGTATTTTGCAGTATTTTAAAATGATTATCAGGAAAAAATTACGTTTCGTGGCTTCTTTTAAGATGCAGATATTATATTTTTTAATCGTAAGAACTACAGAAATAATTAAAAAATGGTACATTTAATTAAATAGTCATTCGGTCAAATATTAGTCAGAAATGTGGTTAAGCAATCAAAGTTAATCAAAGTTGTCGTCGGCTCTGGTTTTTCATGCTTGGTGAGTGTGCCGGCAGCAGTAGATAAGGTGAAAATGCTATTTTAAGTTTCTGTATTTGTGTTTGTTAAAAGTTTAAATGGTTTGAGTTAATGTGTGTAATTGTAAATTTACGTGCAAATAATCTTAGAATGACACAGGTCTTTTTTATTATTATTATTATTATTATTATTATTATTATTCACATTTAAGGTTGCTTACATTTTATAGGTTTGGATGAGCTTTAATTTTTTACACCAAATAAACAAATGTTGTAGGAAGAATGTGAAAGAAACAATTTAAGAACTTTTTTGTGAGTTGCGTAACTCAGTGTAATTTTGCGTATTGGTACAGGAAAGTCTGAATGATTACATTTCCGTATGTATTTGTAATACAATAAGAAAAGTTTTGTGCAGTTTGTATCCAAAATATTTCATTGATTGAATCTAATTTTAATAATAGCTGAGTTGATTTTTAATTATAATTTATTAATTAATCATATTAAGTAGTTGGGGATGTTGTTAAGGAAATGTGTAATTTAACCAGGGCCGGATAAAGGGCGATTGGTCACAGTCGGGCCCCGTATTTGATAGGGCCCCGCTTTACCATCAAAATAAAAAAAAATTTTGAAATTTAAAGCAAATTAATAAAAAAACTTTTTGATATCGACAATGAATCAGGATAGATTAAATAGTAGTTTAGCAATTATGTTGATTAAAAGTGAAGACACAAGAAAATTAGATTTTCAAATAATTTTAGAAGAATTTACAGAACAAAAATTTAGAAATATGTAAATTCATGTATTCATATTCGGTGATGTAAATTTATATTCAATAAACTTTTTTTTGTATTTTGAACATTTTTATTTTTTAATTTATGTAGAAGTTTACCTGTCTGATGATCCATGATATTTAATATATATATATATATATTTGAATTTTAGTTAAATATTTAATATATAGAGAGGGCCCTGCACTTATTCGATCCAGGCCTGAATTTAACTAATACATTTTGGTTAAGGCAATGTTTATTAAATATTCATGGCTAACAATTTCCTTTGCATGCATTAGAAGTTTAGATATATGGGATGAAATTCATGGTATAAATGGTTGAGATCCTAATAAGATTAAGACACGATAACACGATGAACAAATACTAAAATACTTGAATACGAACAAATACTTGGTGGTTCGGTAAAACCATCGAAATTAGTCCTGTGAAAATTTTGAAAATATAACGCTGATTTTTTTAGTATCCTTATAAGAAATCATGCTTATAATTATATAAGGTTTGGTTTATTTGATTATGGCAAAGTGCACTGCCTGGGTGTAATAAAGGAATTTTCTTTAAGAAATTAAATCATAGATATTAGACTTGGGATCTCTTTTGCTTTTTCATTTGAAGGTATTCTTGTTAAACTATCCATTATGTAATATATTCAGATAAAATAACTTACAGTATTTATTGGACAATTCAGAGATCACTCTAATGTTTAATTATTTAAGAGTTTATACGATTTTCGTAACTATCAAAAGACTTTGTATACTTTGGATTTAAAACACTATAATGTATAATAGTTTTTTCGGTTAAAATAATGTGAAGCATAATGCAAAGATACAAAATTTGTATGATATAAGTAAATAAATATTTTAAGCATATCTTGAACTTCTTTTTGCAGTTTAGTTTATGATTTTGATATTTATTTTTAAAATCTAAACTCTACCTATCCTATGGGTTAACATTTCAGTTTGGATTATCCTGTAAAATTGTTGGACATATTTATTATTTTTTAATTACAGCACTTTGATAAGTTTGTAATTAGAGATGGGATAAATCCTAATTTTTTTAAATCGAAATCCTACAGAGTCCTTATTTATCTTGAATCCCTCATATAAGAATAATAATAATAAAAAAAGTCTAATAATAAAAGGAAGGAAAAACATAATATTAATAGGTTTTTTTTTTTTAATATATATAAATTAAAGTAGAATTTGAAGTCTGACTTTAATAGGAAGGGGAAGGATTTTAAGAATTCAATTTTTAACATTACACTAGTGTTTATTAAAAGCATACAAATATAATTCAATGATTCGTTATTTCAGTGTTTAACAAAAAGTATTGGAGTGGAAATTCAAAGTATTTGCCTTGTAGGTCAGTATAGAGGGAAGAAGATTTTTTCAAGAATTAGCAAATAAATAACATAGAATGTTAAATTTTGTGTAGAAAAATTTTTGATTTTACTAAAATTCCAGTAGTTACTTTATTTTTAAATGCTGTTATCAGATGTCAATAAAATTAATTTTTTGACTTAAAATATTTAATGTGTTTTAAGTTTGGATTCTATGATGCCAAAAAAGTGAAGCTTCAAGTTTTTGAGTTTGTTTTAAAGATTTGTGAAATTTAAGGCTTTTGAAAATTTTGTCTATATTTGTAAAATATTAAAAGCAGCTAGTGATAGGATATCTGAATTCTTGAATAATATAAATTTCTTGTGATTCGAAGCTAAAAAGTCAGTGTGTTATTTTTGTTAAACTTTCAAATCGTGACTTCAAAAATTGATGAACTTCAAAGCTTTCAAAAATTAATTCATTGACATTTAACAGAAGTGGGCAGAGAGAATTAGCATTCCTCCTATGATGAAATTGATACTGGTCTTTATAGCATTCTAGGTGAAAGAAAATGCTGTTGGGGCGGTTTGGATTTGCATGATTTGTTGCAAAATGTCCATGAAAAAAGAACATGACTACTGTAAACAAATCAGCAATTCATTCAATGTTGATGCAATGCAAATTATTATAATTATACATATACATATATATATATTTACTTGAGTAAAAGGCAAAACACCTTTGCATTTATATTAATTATTGTTAACTGAATGGGGGATGGTTTGTTCCCCTTGAAAAGTGAACCAATTTCTGTTCAATCAGGATAATTACTTGGTTTATTAATTTTCATATTAAAAGTTTGAATTTTTTATTTTTCATGATTTAAATTCAAGTTCCTTTAAAAATATTATTTTCGAGATAAATTTCATACTTCTGGGTTACTTCCTTCAAATAAATTTTACTAACTTTATATTAGGAGATAATATAATCAATATTACAATAATAATCATATTACCAGGTATCAGGAGATAATATAATCAATATTAAATAAATTATTATTATCTTACTTTGCAGCTGTTGCGCAAGTATTAGGAAATTTATTTCGATTTCGTGAAATAATTCAATTTTGATATATATATATATATATATATATATATACACTATAGTAAAGAATTTAATATAAATTTGTATTTATTATAATAATTAATACAAATTTTTCAGCAATTTATTTAAAATAGCAACATACATAAGCATGCCAATAAATTTTATTTATTAAACAGAAAGTTAGTTTTTACAAACTCTTTCTGGTGGCCACAGTTCAGCAACTGTTGCTGATAATGCTTCAGGCATTAACTATAGCTTCTTTTTATACTGATGAAAGCTTGGAAATATTAATCACAATGAGGATTTTATGTTGAAAAATCGATATATTTACATAATGTAATTACAGAAAACCAGTTGCATCATTAACCATTTGTTTATTGCACATAACAATTTCTCACAAGATCAGTAACTAATTGTTTCTCGTCAATGCAGAAACAGGCTAAATTCACATTCTGCTGAGGCCACTATAGAAGCCTGCATTAACTCTTAAAATAATCTACCTTCTCCCTCTCGTGTATTCAAGCCAGTTTCCCATAGAAAGTCCTCTACAAAGGTATTCCTACTAATAACCAGTGTTTTATTGTTCAGTGTTTTATCCGGCAAATATCTGAGGCATTATCACCAACTAACATAGAAAAACCAAATTCTCCTTCCTCTAAGTGTCTTTTATTAAAAAGATTCTGAAAAAATGTTAAGCATTTATTTTTTTTATTTTTTTTATTTTTTCATTATGTTAACAAAAGTTATTATATACATATACAACTAAATTTCATTCTGTAATAAACATAGTCATATTTTTAAAAACTATATTCTTAAATTTATTTTTCATTAAATAGAGATTTGAAACTGTATTAAATATTTAAAGAGATACTTCCTTTTTCAACTATTGCCTTGGTCCAGTGATTGATTGGTACCTGGAAATGCAAGCTTAGTCTGCAGATTTTTTAACATGCCACATATGTAGTTTTCAGAGTGTTTTGACTATGACATTTTCAACATGATATCATCGATTGACTGTATTTCTTCCTCTAAAATGTTTACCATTTTTAATTTATAGCCGATTGGAAAAGAAACGGGAACTTTTTTGTGATATTTATAACATGGGATAAATTTGATTTTTGTGGCCACTTCAAACTGTGATATCGTTTCTTCATTACTTTTCCCCTTCTAAAATGTTGACCATTTTAAACTTTTCATCAAATGAAAATTTTATTATTTTTCCTTCTAAAATGTTAGCCATATTTAACTTAACCATCAATAAAAAAAAAGCAAAGTTTTCCCTTCATGAACAGGAGTGCATAAATGACCACCAGTTTAATGGAAGGTAAAGTATTTGGAGATGTAAATGAAAAAACTGCAGGGGATAGCTTTTGTGCTCATAATTTGTTTCATGGTACTTTTCTTACTGCTTTACGATTAATGTACTGTTGTGTGCATATGGGTTCATAATGGATTGACTGCACGCAAAAACCAATGATAAAATTTACTTTACCAAAAGTTCTGGAACTTTCTACAAAAATACTCGTATAGCTCATCTCAGTATCACAGACCACAATCAGTAGTTACATTTCTAACTACTAAGAGCATTAAACACAATGCAAGTACATCCAAAGGCTGATGCTCACACAGTGATATTTCAATACTCCAAAGTTGACTCTGAAGTAAAAAACTGAAAACTGTTTCTCTTTGTAGTTTTACCCCAGCTGCTGACAAATCTCTAGTACCTTCTAATTCTCAAAATTACTGGTTTACATGAGGGCCTTATACAATTATAGTTACATATAGGGATCAATTATAATTACAGTCAAAAGTCGTTAATTCGGACACCCATAATCCGGAATGATCCATAATCCGAACCTCAAAGCTACAAACTTTCTGTGCATGCGTCGCGTTCACGCATGCGCACAGGCATTTACGAGAGTGCATAAGACCCTTACAGCTGCGAATATGTTTGTGCGCATGCGCGTTTAATGTGTAACGGAGTTATACGCTAAGCTAAAGTTATCTAATTCAGTTAATGTTGCAGATTGCGTTGTTCCTTAATCTTCGAATGGATCGGCTTATTATTTTTGCAGACTGTTAGAGCAATTTTATAAAAGTAAGCTTGAACTTTTGATTATGTCAAATAGAATTTCCGATATATATTTACTACAAAGCGAAAGTATGTTTTGAAATCCGAAATCTGTTTATCAATTTCACGCTGCTCTGCCGCAGAGGGGGGGGGGCAGAAACATCATTATTAGATTATGATAAATTAGAAAGATTATGTCAAATAGAATTTCCATATATATTTACTAATATGTAATTTGTATCTACAAAGCGAAAGTATGTTTTGAAATCCGAAATCTGTTTATCAATTTCACACTGCGGATTGGAAGTTGATCTGTCAGCACTATCCTTATCTTCAGAGCAGATGTTTTTATTTTGTTTGGTTTATAATTCGGTGTGCTAAGTGTAGTATTTCATCTCCATATACTCCGTCTTTGATATGATTTAAATCATGATATGATTTAAATCAAGTTCCTCTGATAGTGAAGAAAGTGACCCAGAGGTTATTGAAAACGAAAACATTTCGATTGACAAATTAGTCGGTATTCTCAACACAGCAATTATAGGACTTGAACAGCAGAACTTTGTAACTAAACAAGAAATTATGTCTGTTTAATAGAATTAAAGAGAAAGTATTATCACATGAAACGAAGCAACTTATATTGAAGGAAATGTTTAATAAAGTAAGCAAATAAATATTAAGCTTTTTCCTTTTGTAAATTTTGATACCCTTTAGATCATAATTGTTCTTTATTTCATAAATTACGGTTTCATATTTTTAATTTTGTAATTTCTGCATGCCATCTTACCAGATTTAAACTCATGATCTATAATCCGGAATCGCCAAAGTCCCGACGAGTCCGAATTAATGACTTTTGACTGTATTCAATTATAGTTAGTTATACAGAGACTGGACGAAAGTGTTACCAAATTTGGCGACAAAAATTAGTTGCCAAAATCATCACCATCTTGTTTATATCTCACAGTTTAACAAGATAGCCATTTACTCAGTGTTAAATAGATTTGCATCTGTAGTCTTACTTTTCACCAAGCTTCATTTCTTTAGACTTTTCATGTTACATTATACAAAATTCATAACATTGCTCCCTTCCCAAGAGCTGCACGTCCCAAGCAATACTGTCCAACCATACTTAACGACCAAGGAAAATCATTTGCTATTGATACACTATTTACCTCTTTGCATAGGCCCTTTAGTTAGTTTTGCTGTATTGTTAATGGAATTTAACTTAGATTCTGATGAGTTGGCATGTGTTAATCTGTCAAGTGACTCGATGCTCCAGCTCATTCCAAAGTTATTCAACTATATTCAGTTTGAGATTTCTTTGAAAAAGCTATTTAAGCCCTTCCACCTGATTTTCAACAATCCACAGCACAATTTACCTTTATATGAGGATAGAAGGGCTGCAATGATATAAAAAAGCTGTACTGCAATCTGGGAAGCATATTACTACCTAAAATGTTTCGATGCATGCGAGTGATTTCAATCTATTGATTAAAACAAGGGCCCGCGTTTGAATTAGTAAAATAAAGTCCAAATTAATGAAAAATATTTCTTGTGGTGTTTTAATCCTGAAAAGATTTTAATCACTCCTCCCTCTTTGTCATGATCCATAATGTGACTGCTAGGATGTAACTAACCTATAACTGTTTTAATACTTATTTTTAATTGAACTGTTCTATCAGATTATTATTAGATATTTATGTATGGATATTTTATTATTATAAGTTTACAATTTGATTTGTATCAGCTGGGAGTAGTTAAATTTATTAAAGTTACATAAAAAACAAAACTTCATTGTATTTTGATGCCATTTGATTAATGGCCAATAACGCACACACCCGCAAAAGAAGTCTTTCATTCATTATGTAATTTTTTTCCCTTCATTGTTTATTCAAAAATAATACACAAATTTTTCCTGAATCTCTATTTATGTATATATATAAATTCAAGAACATGTACTATTTCATTCAAAATAAGATAAATTAATTGTGGATTTTTACTTTCATTTGATAAATTAGTTTTAAAATTGTACTTCATTAGATATATTTAAGAATACTGCTGTCGAAAATCAGCATGATTTTAGCAGATTACGGTAACATAACCTTCTTGGGATGGACTGGAAGATTACGGTAACATAACCTTCTTGGGTTTGCAGCATGAAGAACAGGATCTGTTAGCAACACCCTGTGATGTGACTATTGATGATGTATTCGACTCATTTCTCATCATGCATTGGAAAAATATCAAGAAACATTTCCTTTTTATGACAGGAGATGTGTGATTAATAAATGGGGAATTTCAATTTGCTATCCATCAATAGTTATTTGCTTAACTTCATAGTTGATGCGGATACAATCAAATGATTTCAACATTTATATTAAATCTTGGAAGTTCCAGACGTGTAAGGAAGAATATTCATCTAAAATGGTTGTTATGTCAGCATCATTCATCCTTAAGCACATAATAGACATTTAAAAAAAATACTGTACTATTCAGTTTCGAGAGCCATAACAAAATTGCAGCAAAATGTACTCGCAAAAGCGCCAAATCTAGCAAACGCGCCCATTTAACAGTGTGCCAAATCTAGCATACGTGCTGATTTCAGATTGCGTAAGTTTATATAGTTCTATATTTCTTAAGACGCCATTGAAATACTAGTTTAATTTTTAAATCCTTTTTTGATATTCTATGGATAACAATTTGGGAATTGCCCATGACGAAAACTCGGCAATTGAATTTTGGGTAAAGTGCAGAATCACTCACTGCTTGACGCGTTTTTAAGAACTCGGTATCCATGTGCACATCGACCTATTTTCACTTTAAAAAAAACCCTAGAATTGCACAAAAATGGCACTGCGCACACCCTTGACTTTATCTATGTACACATTGACCTATTTTCACTTAAAAAGTAAAATAAAATTGACAAAAATCCAATTGTTTTTACCCTTGTAAAAAGCGGCGAACAAATAAGTGAGCAATTCTGCACTTTACCGAGAATATTTTCAAAGAAAAGGCATCATTCAATATAGAAAATTACATTTGAACAAAAATACTTTTTAGCAATATTATCACATTTTATTATTTTCTACAATTTTCATGTGTAGTTTGTTTAATCATCATTATTGCGTAGAGTTAAAAATGAGCATAAATATTTATTTTATACTTTAAAAAATTTTAGGCATATAATACTTTATTCTGAAAAATACTGAGTGCATGATGAAATTCCTGTCACACCAGTAAATAACTTCCTTGAAAGGCATAAATGCATATAAGAAAGTGGCTTTGTAATACTTTTAATTTGCACTATCGTACGTTTATAGTTTTTTATCTTTTTTTTAATAATCTTTAACTGGGTGGAATAGTTTTAATTTTAACATCTATACTTGTGGATTAATGACAGATGATGCTCCAGACTGTGTCGCATGAGTGATTTGTCACCAGAATGAAATTTTTCTAGCTACTTTTTTGCAGTAGTAGTGCAATTTATTACTCCATTGTTTTTAATACAATACTGATTTTAAGATAAGTTTTAGCATTTGTGTCAAATCCATGCTTATATGGCATACATATTTGAATAATGGTAATGTATGCAGATGTAACTAGAATGCTTCTTTATAATAAAAACTGATCTGAACTCTAAAACTTTACTGACAATAAGTCTTCTGTGTGAACTATGCGATATATACATGAATACATTGGTTCTTTCAGTGTTACCACTAAAGAGCAACAGAATTTTTTTTTTTTTTTTATCTGATAGCATTAAATTTTGTACTAAATATCAGATGTGCAGTATAACAATCTTTAAATGTATAATTTTGTTTGATATACTGGAACCTTTATACAAAATAAATCACTTTCTGGTGATGACTGTATGATTCAAAATTTAGCTCTATATTTCATGTTTTTGTTATTTCAGTAATAGAACAAGAGCCTAAAAGAAATGTTGAAGATAAGAGCTTTGTAGAAGATTCTATAGTCATCACAATAAGGTATTGTTTTGGTAGAAATAACATGCTTATAAATTGTGGATGGAAACTGTACTTAAAATGGCCGGCCACCAATGAGATTCATACAATTTATCACTTTTCACATTTTTCAGGACAAAAAAATATAAAATTATTTTGTTTGAAGTTGCCATAACATATGTATTAAAACTATAACTGCTAAAATGAATTCATTTAAATAAAAAGAAATAAATTAAAAACTGAAAAATGTTTAAAGTAACAGATCTAGAATATTTTTTAAAAAAAAATTCTATAATGCTTATTGATTTACTTTACTATGAATGGAGCTACAGTTTTAGTTTTATGTAGTGCCTTAAAAGGTCTTCCATAAAGTAATACATTTGTAAAACAGTGTATTTTTTAAAAAGTTAATGTACTAATAAAGCTATAAATGTTTATACAGTCAAAAGTCGTTAATTCGGACACCCATAATCCGGACCGTGGCGCGGAATGAATTGGAAGTTGATCTGTCAGCACTATCCTTATCTTCAGGGCAGATTTTTTATTTTATTTGCCTTATAATTCCTTACTAAATGTAGTATTTCATCTCGATGTACTTAGTCTTTGATATGATTTAAATCAAATTCCTCGTCATTATAATTAATTCGCTTCCGATAGTGAAGAAAGTGACACAGAGGTTATTGAAAACGAAAAAATTTCGATTGACAAATTAGAAAGTATTCTCGACACGGCAATTATAGGACTTGAACAGCGGAACTTTGTAACTGAACAAGAAATTATGTCTGTTTATAGAATTAAAGAGAGTATTATCACATAAAACGAAGCAACTTGAACAACTTACATTGAAAGAAATGTTTAATAAAGTAAACAAATAAATATTAAGCTTTTTTTTTTTTTTTTTTTGTTTTTTGTAAATTTTGATACCTTTTAGATCATAATTGGTTTTTATTTCATAAATTACAGTTTCATATTTTTAATTTTATAATTTCTGCATGCCATCTTACCAGATTTAAACTGATGATCTATAATCCGGAAAAATCGATAATCCAGAATCGCCGAAGTTCCGGCGAGTCCGGATTAACGACTTTTGACTGTATACACTGTGGCACTAAGTGTTTAAATAATACTGTATATTATAAAATGTAATTGCACAACGGATATAAAATACCATTTTTTATTAAAAAAAAAATATGTGCAACATTTGTGTTTTTTCCCTTCTTGAGAATTACATGTTTTAAATTAATTTTAATGTATGTAGACATTTATTTAGCTGATTTTAATGGTTTCTTGACAAAAGACCCCTGGGCTAAAGCCCACACTGCAGATCACTATGATGATTCCCCACATCACAAATATCCACACAGATGAAAATCACATGGATAAAAGTTCTCATGAATAAAAGGCATGTGATTTTATCAATGTAGAATGTTATCACCACCTTTTTTTTTTTTTTTTTTTTTTTTGTTAGGTTGAGAGTAAACTTTTCTGCTTTCTGGTTAAGCAGTTAGATGTAATGATTATTTATTACTGTTTTATTTATTTATTTGTGTGCATGTATGTGTCTGTGTGTTTATAAGGATCATCTGGAAAGTAAGTTTCCCACTGGCCATGAAAAGAAAAAAAAAAGAATGGAGCCAGTATGTCACAGTTCTCTGCACATCTTCATCTGTGGGAAAGTGATATCCGGGCAGAAATTTCTTCTGATGCAAGTCGCAAGTCTATAGGATGAATGGTGAAACATCTCCATGTGAAACTTCCGAGGCAGAATTTTTGTAGAATTCGCTGTATGTGGGCAAGCATTGTTCTGTAGCAATGCAACACCAGCACTGAGCGTCCCATGCTTCTTGTTCTGAATTGCTTGTCACAAGATTTCTAGTGTTGCCAGTAATGATTAATGTTAACTGTAGCACTCCTCAGCAAGACGTCAACAAGCAGAATGCCTTTCCTGTCCCAGAAGACTTTGCACATCAATTTCTATGTGGACACAGTCTGTGTAAAAATTTGCTCCAGCACGGATATTCATCGTGATGCCAATGCATTGTCTCCTGCCTCATTTCTGGGTGAAGTGAGCAACCCACATCACCCGTAACAATCCTTTTGAGGTACTGATTGCCTTCATCATGGTATCAATGCAGAAAAGTCAGTTCTACTCCCATGCGTTTCATTTGTTGTTTGTGTTGGCAGTGGTGATAAAGGCAAAGCATATTTTGCTTCTTTTAAATAAAGCTAAGACTAATCTAAATAAAATTCATGCTTTATTCCGTAAATTAAAATAAAAGAGCTAACACTGTAGCCTTTACATTTAAAATCATTTGATTGAAAGCAAACTAGCATTATGCTAACTCATAATAACACAAGAGAACAAGACATTCGCCGATACCGGCGTACATATATATAATACTCGGCCAACCCGCCGATCTTGACGTCATCGTCCAATCAGCGGCAACCACGTTAGCTTACCGCCGATTGACCTCTGATCAGAATTTGCATGTGGAAAACTAAATCCAACAGTTTGGACGTAAGGTTTTGCGGCACTCACGTGGAACACAATTTCTGGAATAACAGGTGTTTCATGATGATTTCATGCACCACAGTTTGTGATACCCACGAGTAATGGCTGCTGGGTTCCGTAACCTTAGAGTGATGATTCTGCAGAATACACTGTGATACCTGCTTCACAAGGTGGTCATTGATGAGGGATGGCTGGCTGGCTGTAGCACTATTCGTCATGGATATTTTGCCTGCCTTTCGAAAACTTCCGACAGCAACGGCAGACAGTTCACTTACTCATCACATCTGATCTTACTTACTCATCACACTTAACACAGCTGGCAATTGATTTCGATCGGCACTACCTTCCGTGTGTTTAAAAACTTTAGCATTGATCTTACCTCGCAGTCAGTGAGAAAATAAATAACAGCCGACATCTGTGCACACTCCAACAATGCTAATGTTAGTGATCAGGGAATTACAACTGCCACATATGATAGCCATACCCACAAGCAACCCGGTTTGTGCCTTCGTGTTTTTGTCCTTTTGGAGCACCATCTTTTGGTAAGGTAGGAAACTTATTTTCTGAATGACCCTCTTATATAAAAATGAGAAATATTATTGTGTTCCTCAACAGCTATTTTTAATATTATATAGCTAAGATTAATTGTACTTATGTTTAAATATTAAAAAATGGTAGAGATGTTATTTAATCAAAAACAGTTAAAATATTTTTATTAGTTATAACAGACACCGTTTTAACTATTTTTTAGTTCTTGAACTACAGTGTAAAGCTACTTTTCTATTATATACATTTCTTTTTAGAAGTGCTTCATTAATTTCCCTAGCTTAGATTAATTTCAGTTCCAATTCAGTATGGCACTAAATCTCTTGCAGGAAAGCAAGAAGCGGCATCAAATGCTGGAGATTTTAAAATTGAGGTTAAAGTAACTGTTTTCGTATGTACACTAGTGTTTTAGGTTTAGCATAATACCCATTTTATAATTGTGGACTAGATAACTCGCTGATAATGGATGTGTTTCCTTTGTTCATAGGGCGATTTCAGTTGGCTTATTGTATATTCATAATTTCTCTTTTAATATATGTGTACTGAAATGTGTTTTACCATAACCTACGAGGAGGATTTTGTTAGTAAATGGAAATCTTCTGCTCTAGGATGATTTGCATGTTCTAGACTGATTTAATGTTAATAAGAATTTTCAAAATTAAACTTCGGATTTTTATTCGTAGCAGCCTATGGACATAATTTTACTCTCATACTGTTAATTTTTTTAAATTCATCTTGTTATGTAAATGAAGAACATAGCTAACTAAAATATTAGTAAAGGTTTTATCTGATTGCATCCAAGTGTTTGAAAATGCATACTTGGTTTTTTTTATTTTTATTTCCAAGTCATTTTTCGTTATGACCTTAAAAACAAATAAAGCTTTAAATTTAGCAGTTACAAGTTATCCATAATATTTAGATATTAAATATATAAATATACATATATATAACAAAAGCAAATAAGTGTATATGTTTTATATTCCTTTTCTTTAAATTACTTTGTATGCATAACATGCCCCCCTTTTTTTGTTTACTCAACAAAGATTCTTTTACACTTTTTTTATGTTGTAGTTAAAAAATATGTGAAGGTAGTTTCTTAAATTTATCAGAAGCATTAATATATTTTATAATTGTAACTTTTATTTGAATTAAAAAGCATTTGGTAAGTTAAGGAATATGAAACTTATTTTTTATGTGCCAGATAGTGGATAAAGTATCAGTTTGTCTTATACTACCTGCTGAAGATATCAGCAAGAAATAGATATTAAAGTTGCTTCACTTATTACATGTGATTTCTTAAATTTTAATTTTGTCTTGTTTTTATAAATTTTGATTTTAATATTTGCATAAAACTGTAACTTTTAGCGAAAGGCTGTTAACACAATATTTCACAGTAATGACATTTTTTAAGTTTATAATTGTTAAATTAATTTCAAATTTTAAATTACCTAAGATTATAATTTGCTTAACAGTTGTAATTTATTTTAATGTTATAATAGCAGTGCAAGTAAAATAAAAGCAATAAGAAACATACAAGCTTAATTACACCCATTAAACTTAATTTTACCATTTTACTGAAACTGAATTAACTTCATGAAAACTCAGCAAATAAATGATTCTTGAATGAATTAGATGAAACTAAGTATACATTGTGAAATATTCAAAACGATAGCATGATCACATATTTTTTTATTGCTTTTGCTAGCCATATATCTTTTATTTCCTACAGAAATGATTCTTGAATGAATTAGATGAAACTAAGTATACATTGTGAAATATTCAAAACGATAATGTGCATTATCATTTTCACATATTTTTTTATTGCTTTTGCTAGCCATATATCCTTGTTTCCTACAGAAAAGGACAAGCTTAAAAACTGCTTGACTGATGATTACTGAGTTTTTCTATTTTTTTATTCATTTTTATTTATTTCATTCATTAATAAATTGTTCTCTAAAACTTGGAT